AGCAGGCTGAGGCTGAGGCTGAGGTAGGCTGAGGCTGAGGCAGGCTGAGGCTGAGGCTGAGGCAGGCTGAGGCTGTGGCTGTGACTGCGACTGCCGTTGCCACTGCGACTGTCATCGCGAATGCGACTACGACTGCGAGAACAGCATAATTCTACAACTGGATTCTCACCTGAATCTTAAAGGGAATGCTTCCAGATATGCTCCTACACATCGCTGTTAGGCTGCTTGCTGTACCATGGACGACCGTCACGGGTAGCGGCCGCGGTGAGGGACCCCTCCTTGCGCACCCCCTGTGGTGTCGGGAATATGCCATGCTTGCTGTGCCCTGGACGACTGCGTCACTGATAGCGGCCGCGGTGAGAGGCCACCCCTTGCGCACCCCCTACGGTGTCGAGAATATGCCATGCCTGCTGAGCCATGGACGGCTGTCACGGATAGCGGCCCTGATGCGAGACCACCCCCTGCGCACCTCCTTTATGGTGTCGAGAATCTGCCATGTCTGCTGTGCCATGGACGACCGTCACGAGTAGCGGCCGCGGTGAGAGATTTCCCCTTGCGCACCCCCTATAGTGGCGAGAATATGCCCTGCCTGCTGTGCCCTGGACGACCGCGTCATGGATAGCGGCCGCGGTGAGAGACCCCCCTTTTCACCCCTTATGGTGTCGAGAATGTGCCATGCTTGCGGTGCCATGGGCGGCCGTCACTGATAGCGACCGCGGTGAGAGACCACCCCTTTGCGCACCCCGTGCGGTGTCGAGAATATGCCATGCCTCCCATTGGGCGGCCGTCACGGATAGCGGCCGCGGTGAGAGACCACCCCCTACGGTGTCGAGACTAGCGGCCGCGGTGAGAGACCACCCCCTGCGCACCCCGTTATGGCGTCGACAATATGCCATGCCTGCTGCACCATGGACGACCGTCACGGGTAGCGGCCGCGGTGAGAGACCCCCCCCCCCTTGCGCCACCCCGATGGGTTGTCGAGAATCTGCCATGCCTGCTGTGCCAGCCATGGGCGACCGTCACGGATAGCGGCCGCGGTGATCGACCACCCCCTGCGCACCCCCTTTTTATGGTGTCGATAATCTGCCATGCCTGCTGTGCCATGGACGGCCGTCACGAACAGCGGCCCTGATGTGAGACCCCCACCTGCGCACCCCCTTATGGTGTCGAGCATGTGACATGTCTGCTGTACCATGGACGATAGCGGCCGCGGTGAGAGACCTCCCCTTGCGCACCCCCAATGGAATCGAGAGTATGCCATGCGTGCTGTGCCCCGGACGACCGCGTCACGGACAGCGGCCGCGGTGAGAGACCACCTCCTGCGCACCCCCGATGGTGTCGAGAATCTGCAATGCCTGCTGTGCCCTGGACGACCGCGTCGCGGATAGCGGCCCTGATGCAAGACCACCCCTTGCGCACCCCCTTATGGTGCCGAGAATATGCCATTCCTGCGGTGCCATGGGCGACCGTCGCGGATAGCGGCCGCGGTGAGAGACCACCCCCTTGCGCACCCCCTATGGAGTCGAGAAAATGTTGTGCCTGCTGTGCCCTTTGATGACCGTCACGGATAGCGGCCGCGGTGAGAGACCACCCCCTACGGTGTCGAGACTAGCGGCCGCGGTGAGAGACCACCCCCTGTGCACCCCTTATGGTGTCGAGAATCTGCCATGCCTGCTGTGCCCTGGACGACCGTCACGGGTAGCGACCTCGGTGAGAGACCTCCCCCTACGCACCCCCGATGGTGCACAGAATCTGCCATGCCTGTTGTGCACCTCCTATGGTGTCGAGAATCTGCCATGCCTGCTGTGCCAGCCATGGGCGACCGTCACGGATAGCGGCCGCGGTGATCGACCACCCCCTGCGCACCCCCTTTATGGTGCCGGGAATATGCCATTCCTGCGGTGCCATGGACGACCGTCGCGGATAGCGGCCGCGGTGGGAGACCACCCCCTGCGCACCCCCGATGGTGTCGAGAACATGCAACGCCTGCTGTGCCATGGGCGACCGTCACGGATAGCGGCCGCGGTGAGAGACCACCCCCTGGCGCCCCCCCTTTATGGTGTCGAGAACATGCCATGCCTGCTGTGCCCTGAACGACCCTCACGGATAGCGGCCGCGGTGGGAGACCACCCCCTGCGCCCCCCCCCTTTATGTGTCGAGAATATGCCATGCCTGCCGTGCCATGGACGACCGTCAAATCTAGCGGCTGCGGTGACAGACCCCCGCCTGCGCACCCCGTTATGGTGTCGATAGTATGCCATTCTTGCTGTGCCCTGGACGACCGTCGCGGATAGCGGCCGCAGTAAGAGACCACCCCCTTGCGCACCCCCTCTGGAGTCGAGAAAATGCCTTGCCTGTTGTGCCATTGGACGACCGTCACGGATAGCGGCCGCGGTGATCGACCACCCCTTGCGCACCCCTTATGGTGTCGAGAACATGCCACGCCTGCTGTGCCATGGACGACCGGATAGCGGCCGCGGTGAGAGACCACCCCCTGCGCACCCCCTTTGTGGAGTCGGAATCTGCCATGCGTGCTGTGCCATGGACGGCCGTCACGGGTAGCGGCCGCGGTGAGAGACCAAGCCTTGCGCACCCCCTATGGTCTGTAGAACATGCCCTGCCTGCTGTGCCCTGGACGACCGTCACGGATAGCGGGTGATCGACCACCTCCTGCGCACCCCCTTTAAGGTGTCGAGAACATGCAATGCCTGTTGTGCCATGGACGACCGGCACGGATAGCGGCCGCGGTGAGATACCACCCCCTGCGCACCCCGTACGGTGTCGAGAATATCCTACGCCTTCCACACCTTGCGAGCCCGCGTGGGAGGTGAGTGAGCTTCGCGTGTGAGCTGTGCTGTGCTGAAAAGAGTTGTTTCTTGCTGTGCTGAGCTGAGCTGAGCTTTGCTGAACAGTGTTGTGTTGTGCTGTGCTGTGTACGCGCTGTATGTCAATGTGCTGTGTGTTGTGCTGAGCTGTGCCGTGCTGTGCCGTGCTGTGCTGTGCTGTGCTGCGCTGTGTTGCGCTGTGCTGTGCGGGAAGGAGAAGGAGGGGGAGGTGCGTGTGTGTGTGTGTGTGTGTGGGTGGGGGGGGGGGGGGAGACGCGGGTGCGACGCGGCAGGGATGAAAACCAGAACTGTGTTGTGCTGTGCTGAGCTGTGCTGTGCTGTGCTGTGCTGTGCTGTGTTGCGCTGCGCTGTGCTGTGCTGTGCGAGAAGGACAAGGAGGAGGAGGGGTGAGGAGGAGACGCGGGTGCGACGCGGGAGCGAAGAAAACCAAAACCCCACTAAGCATGTGGGGATCAAAAACGCCTATGAAGCCCGTACCCCCCCCACCCGAAATTCGGGTCTTCGGGTCGGTCTGGGGTGGTCTGGTACGTAGTCATTAAAACCCTGCGAGGCAGCTGACCTGAATTCTGGCATAGGTGCCAGGGGAGCGGTGGCGGACGGAGGACGAGGAGTACGAGGAGGAACGCTGAGAAGGCGGAGGCCCGAGGAGGCCGGCGGAGGAGTTGGAGGAAGAGGAGGAGGAGGAGGAGGAAGAGGAGGAGGAGGAGGAGGAGGAGGAGGAGGAGGCTCCTGGTAGGTAGTCGGCGGAGGGAGAGCACAGTGTGCCGCGCCCCTTCTGGGGGTCGCCAGGGCCACGTGCTCCGAGCTGCCGCCGGCCGTGGCAGCGAGAGGCTCCAGAGCCAGCCCAAGCACTCGAAAATGAACACGTCGACCTCGCCAGCGTCGCCCTCCGTCGCCCTCCCCTCCCCCCCCCCCCCCCTTTACAGTCAACCCGCACAGTACGGATGGGCATCTTTCCCAGGGGTGGCCTTGCATCCTTGCCCCTTCGGCCCATCCTTGGTCATTCTTGCCGGCCGCGCTCCGCTCGAAGGCTTCATAATGGGCGTCCAAGGCCCTTGCACCATTACCGCGCGTCCTTACTGTACGGGTTGACCGTAGTGGGCCCCGGAAACGGCAGGGCCGTCTTTTCACCGTTTCCAGAAGAGTGCCTTGAAATTGGAAGCGGTAGAAACAACGCCGACCAGAAACGGCAACAAAAACGCCTCCAGGATTGGAGCCAGAGCCAGAACCAGAAAACAACGGAGACGGAACCGGCAAAATAATGGCGTCGGAACTGGCAAAAAAACGCGAAAACAGAACCTGTAACAAAAACGGCCCTGTCTTTGCCAAGGCCCACGAAGCCCCCCCCCCCCTCCTGGCCTCGCATGCATGTCCTGGGAGATTCTGCAGCATCGGCTCTGGTACATGCTCCCCGATCAGGCTGACTAGCCCTTACAGTCAGGGGCTCTGGCTGAGCGTGTCGCTCCGCCGGCTCTGGCCCGCCACACCTCGGCGCAGGAGGGGGAGGAGGAGGAGGAACAGGAGGAGAAGGAGAAGGAGGGAGGAGGAGGAGGAGGAGGAGGAGGAGGAGGAGGAGGAGGAGGAGGAGGAGGAGGAGGAGAGGGAGGAGGAGGAGGAAAAAGCTCTCAGCTCGCGGGGCGCAGCGTGTCGCTGGTGTGGCCGCCGCGACACGCAGAGCACCAGTTCCCGAGCGAAATATCGGTATGACGAGGACCTCCCAGGATCGCCGAGCGCGTTCCACTAACTCGCAGAGTGCCTCCTCGCAGCCGTCCGAAAAGGCGCAGGTCTGCTCTGATGTAATTTATCGTAGACTCCTCACGGCGGATCCAAGCCATTTGCGAGTAGCGACTTTGCGAGCAGTGGGACGCGCTCGTCTACAGAAGCTCCCCCCCTTCCCCTCGGGCGCGCCCAGGATGGTGGCCACGACCCTCGGCGAGGCCGTGCGGGCAAGCTGCCACCTCCCGGACGCCTTTCTGTCCACGGCGGGGCCGGGGTTCGTCGTCGTTGTTGTTGTCGTTTTCGTCTTCGTCGTCGTCGTTGTGGTTTTCGTCTTCAGCTTCGTCGTCGTCGTCGTTTCGAAGTTTTTGTGGCTTGTGCTTCTGAAGGTTGTCGTGGCCTCGGCGGGGCGCAGCTCGAGGTCCGCGGTCCGATTTGTGAGCGGACTCGGTTCGGGCTTCGAGGAGCCCGAGCTTGGCTGGCGTTTTCGGCCTTGTCCTCGGTCCCCGGGAGGCCCCTGCGAGGCGAGGGACGCACAGTCGCCACCGATGGGCAGTTTTCGGCGGCGAGCCAGTGGGGGGAAATGCGACAGAGAAGGCCTTCTCAAAGGCGGCGGGACTGGTCAGAACCCCCGGCGCCTTCTGAGAGGTTTTGTTTCTGTCTTCGGGGAAGGCTTAGAAAACTTTTCTGAGCCTTCTGAGAAGGCCCGCCCCTTCTCACTTCCCCCCCCTCGCTCGCCGCCGAAGCTTGGGAGGGCTCTGCGGACCGATGATGGGCGGATTTAGGTCGGGGTTCGAGGATCCAGGTCTGGGCGTTTTCGGCTTCTTTCGGTCCTCCAAGATCGGGCGGGACGAAGGGGCAGGACAGGGAAGGGGGGGGGGGGAGAATGAACGACACCTGCTGCATGCCGCCGGTTTCGGCCCCGCCGCCGGTTTCGGCCCCGCTTCCGGGCGGTTTCGGCCCCGCCGCCGGGCCCCGCCGCCGGGCGCCTCCGGGCGCCAGGAGGCGCCACGTGAGCGGATTCCTTGCCCTGCCTACCCTTTGCGATCCTACCTTTTTCGTCCCCCGACAAGACGCTCCTGGGAGCCCAGGGGCGCACAGCCGCCACCGACAAAGGCAGCAATCCTCAATGGTCCAATCATTGACCAGAGCATCCCCACGGAGAGGGAGGGGATTCCAACGTGGCAGAGCGCCAGCCCAGGAGGGGGGGGAGGAGGACGAGGAGGAGGAGGACGAGGAGGAGGAGGATGAGGACGAGGAGGACGAGGAGGAGGAGGAGGAGAAGGAGGAGGAGAAAGAGGAGGAGGAGGAGGAGGAGGGAGGAGGAGGAGGAGGCAGAGACAGAGGAGGAGGAGGAGGAGGAGGAGGAGGAGGAGGAGGAGGAGGAAGGAGGAGGGAGAGAGGAGGTAGTAGTAGTAGGAGGAGGAGGCGGAGGAGGAGGAGGAGGAGGAAGAAGAGGAGGAGGAGGGGGAGGGGGAGGGGGATGGGGAGGGGGAGGGAGGAGGAGGAGATTGAGGAGGAGGAGGAGGAAGAGGAGGAGGAGAAGGAGGAGAAGGAGGAAGAGGAGGAGGAGGAGGAAGAGTGGGAGGGGGAGGAGGAGGAGGAGGAGGAGAGGAGGAGGAGAGGAGGAGGAGGAGGAGTTGGAGGAGGAGGAGAAGGAGGAGTTGGAGAGGGAGGAGGAGGACAGGGAGGAGAGGAAGGAGATGGAGGAGGAGGAGGAGGAGGATAAACATGACGACTACTACGACTACTACAACTACTACTGATACTACTACTTTTATTGCTACTACTACTACTACTACTACTACTACTACTACTACTACTACTACTACTACTACTACTACTACGACCACTACTACGACCACTACTACTACTACCACCACTTCTACTACTACTAGTACTACTACTACTACTACTACTACTACTACTACTACTACTACTACTACTACTACTACTACTACTACGACTACGACTACTACTACTACTACGCATACTACTCATACTAATAATACGACGACCAATCATAGTAATAGTATCAGCAATACTAATAATACTAAGGGTGCGAAGTTTAATAATACTGCGAACACGAAGAATGATGCTACTGATATTCATAAAACAAATATTATCAGACGACGAACCATATGAAGAACACGAGTACTACCAGGTAGAAAACGCATACGACGAACCATACTCATAACAGTAACGCGACTATAACATGATTAATACAACCATTACGAGCAATACTCGCCATATTAGTTATAGAATACTAATTTCACCAATCATACGGGTGTTATTAAGGCGAACAATCTTATCATGAAGAAGACATAATAACAAGGTGAGAAGGACGCATATTAAGAGAGGAGAAGAAGGAGAAGCAGGAGGAGGAGGAATACGACGACTTATTGCGTCGACTACTACTTCTACGAATCATGCTAATCGTAATCATGTTCATATTACATATCATACTAAGAATACCAATTGTAATAGTGAGGGTACGAATGTTAATAATTCGGCGAACACGAATAATGATATTACTGGCACTCATAAGCATATCGCAGCACACTGCGCAACAGTTTAAGAAGGCGAGTACGACCAGGAAGCAGACGAATGCGAGAACCAGACTCATAACAGTAACACGAATACGATTATAATTATTACGGAAATAGAATAAACACATACTACGAGTACTACTCATCATGCGAATTCTACGAATAATAAGGTCACCAACAATACTGATGTTACTAAGACGAACCAGCTTAATACGAATAGTAATAATAACAGGAGGAGGGGGAATGATACGAGAGGAGAATGAGGAGTATGAGTAGGAGGAACATCACTACTAGTACGACTGCTACGACTACTACTAATCATAGTATTCATAATCATATTACTACTACCAACCTTATTCATAATACACAGGTCAATCATACTAATGAGAGTACGAACGCTAATGATTCTGCGAACACGAATAATGATCCTACTGGCGTTCATAAAACAAATAGTGCGCTCATAGAACAAGTAGTAGCACACGACGAACCATAATAATAACACGAGTACTACCAGGAAGCAGACGACTGCGACAACCATAATCATAGCAGTAACACAGATACGATTGTATGTAATAAGGAAGCACTATGAATAATACAAGTACTACGGGTAATACGCATCATGCTAATTCTACGAATGATAGGATCACCAATGATACTGATGTCACTAAGACGAACAATACTAATACGAATAATCAGAATAACAAGGGGAGGAGGAATGATAAGAGAGGAGAAGAAGAAGAAGAAGGAGGAGGAGGAGGAGGAGGAGGAGGAGGAGAGGAGGGCGCGGGCGGCGGCAGCGTCGGTGCGGACCAGTGCGCTTGGCACGATTTCTTCAGAGCAGCCCTACAGCGAAGGCGCTGACATGAGGGCCACTGTGGGGCCCTGGAAGGGGCTCGGGTATCCGGGCCGTTCCTTAGGCCAGGGTCGGGGAGCCGACTCGCGGCCAAGGCTCGCCGTGGCCATGAGAGCCCCTTGGTTCCTCATTTGGCGCTCCTTCTGGCAGTGCCAAGGCTCCAGCTTTGGTGGGGTACCCTCAGGTTCTGCGTGTTGGGGCTCTACACCTTGCAGCGCTTGTCTCTTTGGATATCTCTGTGGGGCTCCTGGGCCGTTGGCGAAGAGGCTCGTGTTCGCGACCCAACGTTATCGTGGCCACGTTCCGATTGTTTTTGGCGCATTCGGCTGTGTTTGGCCTTCCTCGCTCCTTCACGGAACGGCCCCTTGGGAGCCGAGGGGCAAACGCAGTCGCCGTTGTGAGGAACAGTGTGGGAGGTATCAACAGACCAGTTTTGAACGGATTTAGATGTTTTGCTTCGCTCGTTCTTCCAAGAGCCCCCCCTAGGAGCCGCCAGTTTAAGCTCCAGCCAGCACCCAGCCGCAGAACCCCAGCTCCCGACACCACCTGACCATTCCGACTTTCAGTCTCCAGTTTGGAACTACGAAGAGCCTCGTCTGAATCAGGGTTCTGCAGGGCTTAAGCGGTTACGCTCTCGCGCGTTTCGCCGCCTGAGCCTGCACCTGCTCCTCGCTCGCTCGCTCGCTGCGGGCCGAGAGGCAAGCGCAGTCGCTGCCGGCGAGCACCCCGACCCTTGCAAAAGCAAAGGGCGCGCTCGCGCACGCGGATACGCGACGCTAGCGGCGCTCGGAGGGACGACGGCGGGGAACGGAGAGAGAGGGAGAAGGGAGCGAGGGGTACATCGATGAACGGATAGGGAGCGAGGTAGAAGGGAGGACAGGAGCGAGGGAGGGAGGGATCGTGCAGGGAGCAGCACCCAGCGGGCGTCCATCGCTTTCCCCTCGCGCGATGGGCTGTCATGGGTGAGCTGCGGATGCTGGTCGATGTATGTTGTTCATAATTTCCTCTTCCTATATTTTTACAAGCCCGGGCGGAGGGAAAACCCGTCCCCCCCCCCAAACCGGACTCCCGGGATCTGGGGCTTTGGGACCCTCCGGACGGGACTCGAAGCGGCCCCCCGGGCCTCGCAGGGCGTTTTGCCAAGCCTTCCCAGCACACCTAGGGCGATCAGGGGGGTCATCGGAGACGTCCCAGAGACCCCCAAGACAGCACAAGAGCGCTCCAAGAGTGACCGACGTGACCTCAAGATGGCCCAAAAGGCCTCCAGGACGGCCCCAAAGAGGCCTCCAAGAGCACTCCCAAGAAGGCCCCAAGAGGCACAAATCTTTGATTTTCTATTGGTTTTTGCTGAATGTTGGGGTTCTCCTCTTTTCGGCTTCCCGATGCTCGAAGACGGCGGTCTTCTGGGCGTCCGAAGCCGCCTGGGAGGCTCCAACATCGCCCCACAACCATCCGAAAGGGCTTCCAGGCAGTCCAAGAGAGCCCCAAAACAAGATGGCCCTCAGAGAGCCCCATGGCGGCCCAAGATGGCCCCAAGACACCCTCCGAAGCATTCCAAATCGTGACCCGGTCGTTCGGGGAGACAGCGGTTGGAGACAGGGTGGCCCGAGGAAGTCCCCAGAGGCCCCCAAAATACGCCCAGAAGGCCTCCAGAAGGCCTTAAGAAAGCCTGAAACAATTTTTGTGAGGCCCCCAGAGGCTCTCCAAGGAGGAGCCTCCGCAAAAAAGAGCTGAGGGGATGGGGAGAATGCGCAGGGTACAACGAAAATAATGAAAAATAAACATGGAGGAGGGATAGCGAATAACATTATTTTAGCGGCGATGCTGGAAAAGGCAACACGGAGTTATCTCTAAATTGTCGGCT